AATTTTCGTCTACAATCTCTAATCAAGGCGCAAAACTTCAAAAAAAATTTTCATTAAAAAGAAAAATTAATCGTATTGAAAACGAATTTTCGTTGTCGTATTAGAGCAAAAGTAAATTTAAATTTTACGTACACATCGTGTCCACAGTATACAGTAATCCAGATAGCCAAAACAAAAAATGTAAATATGCTTATTTGACATTTTGTTTGAATGTATTGGTTGATATTTTTTCACAATTGTCGTTTTCGTTAACCCAAATGAAATCCAATTTAAATATTTTCTTATAGTGAAAAATATTTTCAAGTCACATAAAATAAAATAACGAGAAAAACCAAATTCCAAGCAAATCAAGCGTGACGCGTAAGCGATTATGACCGGATGTAGTTCCTACATAAGTCAAACCGTGTGCCGAACACAACTTTGAGTGAATAATGGTGGGCTGACTTTGTAAAATGGTCCCATCGATTAGGCGGTAAAACAAGTATTACTTAGCTTATTTTGGAATGTACAAAATTTGTATGTATTTCTTCAGCCGCTTATTCACATTTGAAAGAGGATAATGCATGAATTAATGCAAGTAAAGACGGTTTATGCAGATAAGCAAGCGCGTTTGTTAACCGTATAAAATGTATGTACATATATACAGAATGACGAGATGAATTGTGGTCCAGGCCTCTCTGTTTGTAAACACGCTAACTTGAACAAAATTTCGATATTTTAACGAAAGTCGGTGTCGAAGTTGCCTTTGGTATAATTTAGGTTAGTGTTAAATTTTGGCGAAATCTGCCAATAACCACGAACACCTCCCACGTAGTAATTAAAATATTTTTGTTTTATTATTTTTTTACGAATTTTGCTGTTCAAATTTACATTTCAAATATATCAAGAAACATTTGTGGGTACTCTTACATCAGTCGTTGCCTATGGGTTAATGACAAAAAGATCCTATACATTCACAATATTTCATGTATTAATTTTCAAATACGCATATTGTCAATGGCTGGTTTACTGTATACTGTGATCGTGTCCAAATTTTGTAAAAAAATTAATTTGAATTGGCAGCTAAAAAGAATCGCGACTTCTGCGTACGAAAAATTTTACAAACGCACTGATAAACCACGTGCCGGTGGACAATACAGACAGGCGGAACGGTTTTTTTGTTGAACGATTGCCTTTGAATTTTCGCGCAACTAATGGCTAATCAAAATGGGCACCTAGTTATGCTTGCATTGCAAAATCTAGAAGGTCAAACGGTCACCAAAATTGCAACGCATATCGCTGACGCAGCTTGCGTAAGTAACGATTTTTCTTTTAGGAGTTTACCAATGGAAAGCTGGTGCACACAGCATTAAATTTCAATTTCTTTCCATACCCTCAGGAGGTGCCTCCCAATAATGAGGTCAAGGAAACGGTGATCGTTTCAGAAGAAGCTAGCGAACTAGAACCGAAAGCTAATAAGGATAATGGTGGCGAGTCGGAAGATCGTGGTATGCGGCTACGAAAGAGACGCGTTGCTCGTAACCAGAGCCGCAGTCGACGCACTTCGAGACGTCGTGGACGCCGCTAAATTCCCCAATAGAGCTCTACGCTCTACTAATATTTTTTATATTGGTATTCTGAGATCGAATTATCTCAAATTTGCCCCACTTATAAGAGGGCTCAACGAGTTAAATCGCATCTGCAGAATTATTGATCTCGATTTCGCAATGTCAAGGTCCCATTTCAAGGCAGATATTGAATCTTACTACCGAGATAATCCGCCATTGATTTAATATTTTATTAGTTTTAAGTTTAAGTTTAAGGAATCTGTAAATCTAGTCAGTAAGGCTTTTTGCCATTGACTTAATAAATGAATTGAATTGAATTGAATTGAATTGAAAAAAAAAAAATTGTGGAATTAGTAATGAATAATTTGAATTTTTATATTTTGATGTGTCTTTCTTTATGCGTGCTTGCATTTACATACACAGTATGTATATGTATTAAATGTACCCTTATTGTACTTGTGCATTTATTTACGCATATTTTGTAGAAAATTGTGAAAATTTCATAAAATTCACTATAATTTCGATAAAACCTAAATAATATATCGAGGGCTTATATTCAATACCCTCTATCTACAATTTTGATGAAAATGAGTTTTTGATGGTAACGTGAGCTCTTATTTATCCTTCAGCCATGACAATAATGCCAAACTTAAAATTTTGCTTTTATGGTATTATATTCTCATTTTGAAAAATCCACTATCTGCAATAACATTTTGTTACAAAAGCAAAATCCTCTATCTACACAATTTTGCTGGAAAATCGTTTTCATTACCATTTTTTTGTGGCAGGTCAAATAAAGACTGGGTAAGTTACATGTGCCGATGCATGTATGTATATGTTCCGGTAAAATCCGATCTTAGGTCAAACTAGTTTTGCCCAGGCTAAACTTGTTCTACCTAATGCGATGTCCAACCGAAACCAAATCTTGTGGACTGCGTAGCTTCAGTTGGACTGATGATGAGAGTTACAAAAATAGTTTATTCTAAGATCGGGTTTGGCCAGTAGCTTACGGGTATATACATGTCCGCTCATTTACTACAATAATGTCATAACTCAAAAAATCAAAACTCGAGAAAGACGGCTTTAAAGTTTTGAATTTACATATACGCCGACACTAAAAATGAATACATATTTTATTCTAGTGAGATTCTGGTAAAGGCCTGTATGCAGCTCTCAAGAAAAGCAAAAACTCCATATAAAATGACGTACAAGAAATGGCTAAGAAATTTTCTTGAGTCAAATTTCCTTAAGGCAGTACGCAGTTCTTAAGGAATTTACTACGCTTTCTACTACGGTTTTCTAAAGTTTTTTGTGAAGAAAGAGCATAAGGTAACCCAGTTTTGCAACAGAAATATATGCCCGTTCCATTATTTCTTGAGGAAAGAGTGAGGCAACAGGCTGTGAAGTCTCAAAAAATGTCAAAATTCCTTGGACACACACGCGAAATAATGGCAATTTTTTCTTGACCGGTTTCTTGAGAGCTGCATACAGGGCTTAATCGATACAGCTATGATATTTTTACACGAAATAGAAGAAGACGTAGCGATAATTTCTGCATACTCAACTCAAAATTTGTATTTTTTGGATTATGACACTACTAAAGTAAATGAGCGATGTGTATATGTTTATTTGCCTCCACGTGGTCCGAAGATTCCCACAATTCTCTCTTACTCATATCTATTTAAGAGTTTGACCAACCATCTCTTCGATGACAGGCAAAAGCCCTGGTGCAGACAAAATCCCGTACCCCGTTTATTTCAAGGATTATATCATAAAGAGTAGGAAACTGCTATTATTATTCCTATTGCCAAACTAAATACGCTAATGATATTTTAATTTTTTCTAAGACTAAGGACTTGACGCAAGTAAAAATTATTTTTTCTAACATACTAAACGATCTAATCAATTGGTCCAAATCTTCAGCAGCTCAGATTTAAGCTGAAAAAGTAATTTTTTCACATATGCAGAAAATACAAATAAATACATACATCCAACCCTCTCCTTGTCTAACACCCCTCCCCTATACTGATACATTGAAAATATTTGGAATGATTTTTTACAATAAACCTACTTTTAAGCAGAACTGTCATTATGTAAAAGTTGACTTTGGGCTCGTAATTTATGGACACTGCGCAAAAAAACATCTTAAATTGCTAGAAACACCTTACTATGTAGCAGAGGAGAAAAAGCATCCGTGCATTTCCCACCTCGCCAATAAAAGCTATCTCTCACGTCGAATCCTGCTTTCAACAAAAATACTGATGTAGCAAGCAATCACCTTTATTTCGTATATTAAGCTACATCAAAGATTTCGACATTATCCGATGCTTACTAAAGTAAAAACTCTACCGCAAGGGCATTTGCCCAGTTTGATACTCATAAATTACCTGGGAGCTTATTTTCACAGACGGTTCCAGATATAGTGGTAACAAAAGGGCTGGGTGTTACAACTGTCTTCAGTGCTTTTCCCCCATACTGCTCGGCATTTACAGCCGAATCAGCTGTACGTTTCGCCTCTATAAACGAAGGAAATTTCCTCATCTGAACGGACAGTAAACCAGCCAGCGAAGCCTCTTTTAACAGTGCTAATGATTCTCATATAATTTCGAAATCACGTGAAATACTCTTTTGACACAAAAACACATTTAAAATTATGTGGTTACCTGGGCACATCGGAATAGAAGGGAACGAATTTTCACACCTATGATTTCTGCATTAAAATCTTAGTTTAACATAGTATTTACGTCTAAAGAACTGACATTTTCATTATTCTGCAAAACCCTCTATCAGCAAATTTTTCTAAATAAATAGTTATAATTCGAATTGCAATAACCTCTATCTGATCTTTAAACTAGAATTAAATTAATTAAAAGTAAAAAACTAGTTTTAGTATATTGCGTGAATATTTAAGACATGCGTGTGTACTTAAAATTATTAACACTTTTAAAAACAGCTGCCAAAACAGTTTTTTTGCTCTCCTGAAAAATTGAGTTTTTGCAGATAGAGGGTATTGAATATAAGCCCTCGATATGTATAATATATGAGATGAAACCCGCATGGGAGCAAGTAGTCAAATGATTATAGGTCAATTTATTGGCCGAGCAGGGTAGGAGTATGAGAAAATAGCGCAGGTCTAATAAATAAGCAGCACACCTGCTGATGGTGGGCACTGTAGTAATTGCAGGTAATGGTGAGACAGATCCTTATCAAGCTTCCTCGTTTGAGGTGCGTTGGCATACGGAGGCAAAGCCC